TGCCCCTCTGTTCCCTCAATTTCCAGACGGAGGTGCAAACCGTTATTGGTCGACCCAGGAGTGCATTTTATTCCACTTGAACCTCCACCCACGGCTAGTTCCGCATTATATCTCCTCTCTCACTCTCTTTCAGGTCCACGTAGGGCAAATGGTCGTTACTCACTTGGAAAAGTGAATGCCTCGGTGAGTCGCAATTGGGTAAGGTCACCCCCAACTCCGTTCACTGCAGGTCTTCTACCACTCACCTCTCGAGTTCCGCGGGAGTGGACAAAGGGACAAGGTTATCACTCAATCGGATAAATGGATGCCTCGGTGAGTCGTAATGGGGTGAAGTCATCCTCAACTCTGCTCACTACAGGTTTTCTACCACTCACCTCTCGAGATCCGAGGGAGAGGACCGCAAACTTCACTGGGTTGCTGTTCGTTTGTGAGGTATGGACGCACTAGCTTCCCTGCCGCCGTTTGGTCTCACAGCCGTGCTGGAAAGAGGTAAACATGGAGCTACCCGTCCTTACCTATCTCCTTTGGTCTTTGTAAGGTTTGGGCTACTTACGGTGGAAAGAACTTTGTAACGAGAAGCTTTTTCACCTGTTCAGGGTCAACGATACATATCGGCTCTAATGCTCACCATCATACAAACAACACTTTACAGTCGATCAGTTTTCATACGTGGCGTGAACACAGGAGAGAACGGCAGGTGATTTATGGGTCAGAGCACACAGGTACTCAACGGTAGTACCATGACACGCGCCCATTCATAGGGCTACCTCTGGGAACACCCCCGCCCAGTTTTTATCTAGCTTTGATTCAAACTGGGACAACGTTGGTGCCGAGACCACCTCCTGAGACAGCTTATTCCAGGGGTTAATTACTCTATGGGCAAAGAACTTTGCTCTGATGTTTTTATTTACCCTTGGTTTCATCAATTTCCACTCACGGCCCCTGAGAGCCGAATCTACATCGCATTTGATGAGAGCCCTGCTCGTGACCGAGCTCCCCTTTAGTTGCTCATAGGCCTCAATCAAGTCCCCACGTAGTCTCCTCCGTTGTAAGGAGAATAATTTAAGGTTCCTTAGCCTATCTTCATATGTCAACCCTATCATACCAGCTATCAGGCGTGTAAACCGGCGTCGTACCCGTTCTAGAGTTTGGCAGTCCTGAACCAGGTTTGGGGCCCAGGACTGAACGCAATACTCAAGACGCGGTCGTACCAAGGTTTTGTAAAGTGGTATCAGCACCTTTGCATCTCTTGAGGCTACTGTCCGTAATAATTGAAACAGTGCCCGATTTGCCCTGGTTGCAGCAGCAATGCACTGTCCGGAGGTTTTGAAGTTCTGGTTGACTT